ACCGGAATGGAAAACCAGACCCCCGGAAACCCCTCTTGGAATTTTCCCTTCAAATTGGGGGTTCTTTTTCCCCTCCCCCAGGGACGCCGAAATTTTTTTTTTTTTTTGGAAAGGCGTGGGACGGGGGGGGGGCTCCAAAACGGGGGGGGGAGGGGGGGGGTGTATTAATAGTCGTGCATGCCGTAGTCGCTAGACCTTTGACCTCGCATCCCTGCAATGCCGAGACGGAGCCCTTCGGTTTTTCACCGAACCATGCCACTGTAGCACATCACCAAGCGCGAAGCGCCGTGATGAATTGGGCGAGTCGCGTGGAGGGTGCACTGCATCCTGGGGGGGGGGGGGGGGGTACTCAAGTTCTGCATGCCTTAGCTGTTATACCATTGACCACGCATCCTCAAGAGGACCGAGAACTGTTCCCACAGGACGGACTGATCACCGATGGCCAATCATTCTACTTTGCCGAAGGTAGCTCAAACCAATTTCCCCATCCCATCTATTCCGTAACTTCTTCCTCTTTTTCAGTTTTCACTTCCTTCGCCCCAGCCGCGTTCTCCTGGTCACTACATGCCTCAAACATCTCTCTGTAACTTACTTACTTCTTTTTTCCCAGCTTAGTAATGCGCCTTTCTCTCTCCTTTTCACAAAGCAGGCATTCGGAGCGCGCGGGTGAGCGGGTAATCCCGTAGATATGTGGTACTCTCTTTTGCTGGTGAGGTAGGAGCGCCACTCGGCTCAATAAAAACAACTAGTGGGATTTCGATAATTTCAAGCTTGGCTAGAGGATATTCCACGTAGCCACACTGTGAAAAACAGAAGGATGTCGATACACGTTAAGCTTGGCTGTAGGATATTCTGTGTCGCACGGTGGAGGGGAAACTGTTGTATCTAGGCGTGATCCCACGCGTTTTCGTCGCTGGAAGTATCGGCCCACCCTATGGCTCTTCCCCTTTGACGCGGAGATGCTGCGATCAGAGGTCATACAGAGCAAATCCTGTGAGATGCACGTCTATTTAGAGAACGTCCGAGGCTTTTCTTAGCTCCAAAAAACGAAAAACAGGAGCAGCACACAAAACAAGCACCGACACGTACCGGATACTGCTGCCTGCAACAGCCACTGTTCAGCAAACATCTACGTGCAATCACAGAAAGAGGGCACATAAAAAAAAGCAACACACACTCTGCTGCCCGCCGCGTCTCTTATCTAGAAAACATACAAACTTGCAATCACAGAAAGAACATAGTCGAGGGAAAACGTTGAATTACTGGGGAAAAAAGAGTCTTGCAGGGACTGAAATAACGAAACAACCTACCGCACCTTCGCTAAGGAGGGGAAGTTGAAGGCTCGGACGTCCTCGATGAATGGGATCTTCTGGAACAGGAGCCGCTCCGTGGGCACCACCCCCGTAGAGTCCGGGATCAAAATTCCCAGCCACGGCTCCCCCGACTTTCTCCTGACGAACCGAGCCACGGCCACCTTAGTTGGGTGGGAAGAAGGGAAACCAAATTTCGACAGAATGGTGGAGTTGACCGAAGTGCTGCGTATAGATTCTTTTGTGCTCCCAATGTTGGACGTCGGTACTTAACAACAGCATGGGCATGAATTCGAATTAGTGATGGAGTTGACCGTTTACTATTTATTGTTTTTATTGTGGTGTCATTTATTCTGGACGTCTTGGGTGTGTGGAAAAGGACGGGCTTGCTGTGTACGTGTAACCGTTACGCTTGCTGATGAAAACCGACCAGAAAAAGTCGGTCCTGTTCTTGCACGGCTGATTCTCGACTAATCAACAACTGGCTCGCCGGAAAACTCAACGACCGTCTTGCAGCGCGGGAATCTCGAAGTAGCACCAACAGTAACAACAACAACAACGACAAAAAAACGCCACAAAACGACAAGAACACTAACGCCAATAACACAAACACCAACACCAACAACACTAACAACAACACAAACACCAACAACAACAACAATAACAACAAACAATGCAACCACCAACACCAGCGCCACCAACAGCAACCAACGAACCACCGAATAAGCAACGCAGGCAGAACCAGACATGCATACCTGGTCGAGGTTCCGCATGGCGCTCGAGAGGCTGGAGATGGCCCCTGCCGCCTGGCCACTCCCTGGTTCGGAAAGGAGCACGAAAGTGTCGTCCATGTAGAAATGCCTCTCGACGCTGGAGGACGGCGTGAAGCCCAGCACCTTGAGGGACGGCGGCTCGTCCGGCAGCTTCAGGGAGCCTTCGTCCACCGAGTTAACCGGAATGTAGTCCTGTTGTGTTTTCATGTATCGTTGTTGTTGTGGTTGTTTTTGGCTGTTCGTCGTTAGCGTTGTTGTTGTTCTCTTAGATTTATCACCGGAATGTGGTCCTGTCGCTGTAGTTGTTGTAGTTGTTGTTGGGTGTTCGTCGTTATCGATGTTGCTGTTCGAGTAGTTTTATCACCGGAAGGTAGACCTGTTGTTGTGGTTGTTGTCGGATGTTCGCGATTGTCGGTGTTGTTGTTCCCTTAGATTTATCACCGGAATGTAGCTGCGTTACGGTCGTTGTTGATTGATTGTTGTTGGATGCCTGTCGTTGTCGTAGCATTGGTTCTTTTGGTTGTGTCTGTCGTTGTTGCTGCTGCTGCCGTTTGCTGTAGTTGTGGGCTGTTCGGCATGACGATGACGATCTTGCTGTTCAGGTGGTAGTTGCCTCGGCAACCCTAGATGCTGCCTACAGCAGGTGGTACCACAACTCATCAATGTCGTGGTTCTTCTACCGCAAAACTCCTGCTTCTTCTACCCTAAAACACACGATGCGCCATTGAGAACGGCTGTGGGTGCTACCGATGTAACGGCATCGTACCTGGCCATAGCGGAAACCTTTCACCTGGTGCTCAAAGTCCACCTCCACCTCGGGCATCTCTGCAAAACAAAAAGTTCACGGCATCAAGGCTTCGAAATAGAGAACCGCAAGGGCTTGCATGGTGTTCTCTCTGCACGGCGAAATAAAAGATGAACACGGTGGTTGCTGGCACAAACGGTTCGGGACCCCAAAAAACGGTTTGTTCCCAGAAACTTCGAAGTCGAAGTCGAAGACTCCAACGTCCTTAGCAACGCCTCGGCAAACAGACACAACAGGATATTCTGTTCGTCAATTTGACAGTGAAGTTGATTCAGTTGCCTGGGTTCGTGTTTGGCATGTTCATCTCACCGTTTTGACAGTGAATTTGCTCGATTCAATTGCATGGGTTCGTGTTCATCATCATGCTTGATTTTCTGCTCTCAGACGTGGACACGACGCAAAAAAAGATGAGCAGGAGGGCACCTGGATCCCTGTAGGTCTTGTCGACCCTAACCTTGCCGTCGCTACCACTCCCCCCGGCGGGGTCGTAGGACGCGATGGACTCCTTCTTGAGCGACTCCTTCAGACCCGTGTCTGTTTTCTTGAAGAACCTGTTTTACGTAAAAGAACGTCGAAAACAGTCAGCAAGAAGAAACATTTGAAACTGATTTCTTGTTTCTTCGTACGCATACTTGGTTTGTACGAATGATGTTGCTGTTTTTTTGTCCCAAGAGGGTCGAGCACAGTCAGCCAGAAAAATAGTCTACTTTTCGTCATCAGCAAGAAAAATGTTTTACTGACTTTTTCGGTATTTACAAGTATTTGGTTTTAGATGTTTGTACACAAGATCGTCGAAACCGCAGCAACTTGGTTGATGGATTTCCGTTCGTGGTAAAATAGAAGGAATGCACCTCAGGGAGGAATTGTCCAGTATGTGCGTATCCTCCGCGGCTTGTAGTTCCTCGTGAAGCAGGCAAGAGTAGCGTTAACACTGGCCTAGTCAAAGAGTCTTGCCATTTCGTTCTTCGAAAAACTGCACTGTATACGTACATGTGGGAGAGTAGCGGCAGAGGATTCCATATTATTCAAGGAAACTCAAAATTAACCTCTCGCGCACCAGTGAAAAACAATCCTCTCCCTCTTAGAGACGTTGATTTGCCTGAAAGAACAACGGAACCGATTTGTTGAAGGGGGGAGCATACTAATGCTCGGAACCATTTTCCTCTGAAGGCAATACCTCGGCCTTGTCCCGGACGCAGTACATCATACTATACCACGTCATACCATTAATCTACTGCTGTACCGTCCCTACACCATGCACTAGCAACCGTACCACCTCACCTGCAGTGCAAAGTCAGGTTGGTACCCAAGGACAGGTCGACCTTGGACTGGGAGGAACAAAAAAAAAGAGCAAACAACACAGGGGGCAAACATTACGGTCATTTAGAAGTAGTAGAGTCCAGGGACAGGTCAAGTTTGTGCTAAAAAAAACAATTAAACAGGTAACAGTGAAAAAAACAGCAAACAAAAGCGAGAGATAATCGTCGGTCCCTTATAAGCGAGATTGGAAAGAAAGACGGTAGGGATTTGTGAAAAACAGACAACAAGAGAAAACAAGAGACGGGTAGAGACAAGACAACAGACAACTGACCCATCCCAAGCAGATTTGCGAACGGACGGGTTTTCATGGAAGATTGACAGGGAAAAAGATCCACTATTGGCTGTGCCTCTAGCGGTGGCTCTATCACTGGAAAAATAGGCACTGTAGCTGTAGCTATAGCCTGGATTCCCTTGGAAGATTGACAGGGACAAAGATCCGCTGTTAGCTGTGCCTCTAGCGGTGGCTCTATCACTGGAAAAATAGGCACTGTAGCTGTAGGTGTTGGTGTAGGTATAGCCTGGATTCCCCTTTCCCATCAAAGCATTCAAATATTTCTTCCCTTCCTGTTCCATTGTTCATCCCACAGAATCCCATGCCATCCATAGAACAAAACAGTACCGCTACTGGTGGTTGTCTTGGCGGCCTACATCGACTTCAACGGACACAAGGTCAACTACCCAGTGACGTCATCGACATAAAAAAATAACGTTCTGGCCCTGTACCTCAATCGACTCTCTCTCCCTCCGTCGAGTCAAAGTCCCCGGTGATCGATCGACAGCGCAGGGCACGACACCCCACTACCAAAGAAAGGAAAAAACAGGAACCCGCCAGTTGCCAGAGCAGCGAAAAAATAAAACCAGGACGCGGAATAGTCAGCTGCTGCTGTGCTCGACGACGTTCTCCCCACGCCATCGACAACAACCGCAACAACGTACCAGGACCGGATTGGTAGTCTTGATTGTCGACTCGCCCATCAGGTCCACCACAGTTTGAGCAGGCACCACAGTGCCTCGAGTGGCTGCCGCAACGCTCGCTAGCATCTTCTCGTTCTGCTCCTTGACGGTGCCCCCTCCTTCCTCCGCGGGGGCTCCGTGGCCGAAGCCTATGAAGTGCAGCCTGCGCGCGAGGAGAGAAATATTGGCCACAAAATAACCAAAACAGATCCAACAGGTTAGTCGCACAGCCCAGCGACGTCAAGTTGCAAGCAATCAAACACGCACCCGTCTCTGTTTAAACGTCGGACATGTTCATGCCGCAAACATTAAGCATACTTACAGAAGGTGCCCCATACAATGTTTATTGGGTTTTCGGAGGACATACAAGTAGGTGTTTGTGGAGGGCAAGGGGAAAGACAGAGGAACTCACTGGTATTATCGAGAAGGCATCGACGAAGTTGTTGCGCGTTAAGCCCGTCGGCGCCGTCCCGTGTGGCGCCGTGGGGTGCGGCGATCCCACACCAATTTCATCGCACTTTCCGCGTAGGTTACACAAGATAACACCCCCCCTCCTCTGGACCGATTGTTACAGCTCGACTATTTACAACTCCACAAAGGCTACACAAGATAAAACACACACCCTGGACCGGTTGGTACAGCTCGACAATCGTATAGCTCAACTACGACAAAAAAAATCCTTCGTCGTTGAAGCAAAAGGAGGCCGCTGGCAGAAAGCCAGACACTTCCTCGAAGCCAGTCAAGAAAATCTCCGAGGTGACGCTGATTGGCCCAAGTTTCTTGTTCAGCACAGCACCGACCGCGCTTTTTTGGAACACCTACCAACAGTACCCGTTAGGCAGCGGCTGCGGCGCGTCAACTGGAGACGTTTTGGCCCTCGACCAGCGGGCCCAATCACAGCAAGTCTCGCTTGGGAGCGTGGCTGCGACGGCGGACCAACGTTTAAGGTGGGCGCTCCTCCCGAGGCCGGGAAATTCGGACCGCGTCCTTCGTACCACCTTCCAACAACCACCTACGTGACGCGATCTGTTTCTTCAGTCCCCTCGTCAACCATGGCAGACTGAGCCACAATACTCAACGGCTCAGGAACAGTACTGAAGGGCTGTTCTAAGTGTCAGGGGAGCGTTTCTGCGTCTTAATTAATCACACAGAGCAACACGAGTGGAATTGGAAGGGGGCGGGAAAACGAATATATAAATCTGTAAAATAGGTGCCCGGAAAGCGCCCGCGTTCAGGCCACAAAGACGGGGTTCCATTTCGAAATCCCAGCCACACAAAAAGCGCGCGTGTTGCGCTTCGTTTGGACCTACCGGCACTCCATGGTCGGGTCCGTGTACATGCCGACGATGTCACCGAGCTGCGAGACCTCCGCCACAGGGGTGGCCGCGTCCGTCAGAAGGTACACGTGCCGGATGTACTTCCTGTCGCGTTCGTCCATTAAAGCAAGTACCACCTCGGTTTAGTGAGGCGTCTCTCTCGATAAGGTGTCAGGCCTGTTGGTATACCACCGGAAAGACTGCTGGGGGGGGGGAATCTACCGGGTTGGCAGCAACGATCCAGAGCTCTTATTTTACCGTTAATGGCAGCAACAACAGTTTCGAAGAGGTACACAAACCACAAACGCAACGCAAATCCTCACTTCTTGAGGGTCCTGGAGCGAATCATGTGCATCCCGACCACCATGGCATCCAGCAGGTCGCCCGTCGCCGGCTCGCCGGAGTCCGGGACGTTCATCGCTTCCACCTTGCGGAGGACCGCCACGCTGCCCTTGTCAAGGCTACAAATAACAAAGAAACAACACATGAAACACAAGGGATGGGGCAGGTCAGGGGTGCCGTGTGTCGGTTTCAAGGTTTGGGAGGGTTAATGTTGGGGCGAAAGCGATGTCAGGTACGGAAGGGGCGCAACGGCGCGTTAATGTTGGAGGTGGTACCGAAATGAGTCCGTAACCCGCAACAGCAAGTCGACGACACTCCGTCGGAGAACCAGCACGATAGAGCGCCCCCGTGGAGGACGACAGCAATGTAGGCCAAGAGCGTTGCAATCTGTTTTCAAGAAAAAAACGAAAAAACTCAAGCCGGCGGGACAATGGGTTTTGCTGACGTAAACGTTTGGGGGGGGGGGATGACGGGGCTGGAGTCCCCATGCAAACGAACATGACCGAGTAGGGTCAAAACCGGAAAGGAAATGTATGGTGGGTTTAACCCTACCTATATCTCAAATCTGTGCACGACTCTAACGTCACAAACTCTCCCGTGCAGATTTAACAGCGTGCAGAGATGGCACACGGCGGTGGGTTTTAAAGGATGCAAGCAGGCCTGGCTTGGGGACTCACAGGCAGTACTCCTTGACGCCGAGGTAGTCGCTGGTCTCGGCCTCGTTGAGCTGGTTGGCGGTCTCAGCCTCGGGCAGGCCGAACAGGACAACTCCGACTTCGTGCTGTAGGGGCACAAAAATCGTAAGACAGGAAGGTGACGAATGTTGCAGTTGTTATTGTTATTGGTGCCCTCACGGAGAAACAACACCCTCGGGAAAAGCTCTGTGGCCGCTGCTGATGAGCACACACTTTTCTGCCTGTTTATCGCATACGAAGTCACCGCAATATCGACACGCGGCAGACAAACACCAACACCAACTAACGCCCTGCTGATTCAAATTTCCGCCGAGATCAACTCCATGACGGCAAGCTCTCGAGTCGTCGGGCGAATTTATTGGTCCTGCGTCCGGCGTGATGATAGAGACAGGACCGCTGGCTCAGCACGTGCAACCCGTGCATGACGAAAAAGTGCAAGCATGGCGGGCGCCTCGCTTCTTCCATCATGTAGTTGCTCCGTTTGACATACGCACTATGTAGCAAACCAACGTCCTCCCGTTGCCGCACTGCTCTCTGAGAAACCCTGCTCCCGTCGACAGCGCACTCTACTGTAGCAAACCAATCGGTCCTTCCCATGCTCTTTCGGCACACAGCTCTGCCGACTGACAAAATCGCATGCATGTGCACCACACGGCGTTTGCCGCTCAATAGGGGGGTGGTGTGCCAATTCCGACGCCCCGCTGCTGAAGGTGGCATGCTCTTCGGGAACACACCTGCTTGCTCTGCAGCATCTTCTGGACCATCAGCACCCGAACCGCTCTCCTTGCTAGCTCCATGTGGCCGCCCATGCTGGCTAAAGAACGGTGCACACGCGAAAAAACCCGTGAGCGTGACAAAAAGAGGCTTGAGTACCCTTGGAAAACAGATGAACACAAAAAAGGAAGTGGGGCGTCAAAACAAAACAACCTGACCACGAATCTGTGATATTTTTGAGAGGGACACGCACTGACCATTCGTTTAAGAAATCAAAGCGGTATTACGTGTATTCGTACTGTACTCCGCACACGTGCAACAGGGCATCTCATTTTTTTTTTTGTATTTCATCAGTATGACCACAACAAATCCATCTCTATCGAAGAAAAGAGTATAAGACAGATTAGCAATGAATACACGGAGTCAGCGAAAGTTCTGTTTTTCCACGATTTCCCGAGCAGCACACACCAAGATCTTTCCAACAGTATTATCAAAACTGACTCTATTCCCAAGTTTGGTTCCGGGTGTGTTCACGCGTTTGTCCTCCCGCCCCCCCCATATTGTCCAGTTACAACACAGCCTGCTGTAGCATGAACACCACCAGCAAAACACGAGCAGAGCCTCTCGGCACAAACAAAAGCTTGTCCTGCTGTAGCAGGAACGTGCTGTGGGCGGTACAACGCTCTTTGAGGTTGATCCGGCCATCGACATGACTCGCGGTTTCATGTGCCCAAGGCAGATGTTCAAATAAGGCAACACCCACCGTTGCAGTCCACCAGAAAAACGATTGCCTCCTTTCCAGCCATGCTTAAGCAGAGGATTGCCTAGACCTGCAGCCTTCACACAGCAGTCCCTTCGCTTGCTTGGAACCCTGTCGCTGCTGCTGTCTCTTTTCAGCGGCTCTCTCCACGGCGCGCACACGCGAATTCGTCGTCGTCTGGAATATCCGTGAGAGAGGCAGAGCCCGACGAGGTAATCAATCAGTCCTGCTGCTGTCAGGAAAGCGGAGGATCCTATCCGGAGGGCGTCAAGGCTTATGTATTCTTCACCTGAAGATACTGCTCGTGCTTGCTGCTTTCGTTCTGTGTCGCGCTCCTCTTGCTCTGTGCTTGTGCTGGGGTTGTGCGAACCGAGCTGCAGCGACTTCTGGGGGGCTCCGTACATCACACATTTTCAAAATTATCCCTCCCCAACGAATCCCCTGCGTGCAGTTCGTGCAGTTGCGCCGCATCTACGATCGCCGTGACACTACAAGGCCACAAGGACTGCTGTACACTCCAAGCGCCAGGTTCGCCAACAAATCAGGTCCCAGCCGGCTAACGGTTCACCCATATGTTGTCGGCAGTCTGACATCTATTCGTAGAGAACGAACAAGAAGGGCACGCTCGATTCGCGGCTCCCACGCGCTAGATCGGCGTTTAGACTTGGTTTTAGAGACGGGCCTGAGATGGAGCTGGCCGCGGACATGTCTGCTGCACGGAATGCGCCAGGTGCCCGGCAGACTGCATGGGTGAGCACAAACACGCGTCTACCCTTGCTTTGCTTTGCACTTTCAGACAATAGAGTGGAACAGGCGGGGTTTTCAACTCTTGTCTGTACACCCAGTCGTGTACTTGTCTGCTACTTGGTTGCGATCCATCGTTTGTCCTTGAGGGTACATAGATTGGCCAATACAGCAGTACTGCTGCACCTTGAATATCGGTCAGGTACAATAGACCACGATGTACGTGTACGTCAACTGTTAACTGTCGTGTAGGCCATGGAAGTACGCCGTTCGTTACACGGTTGTGTACCTACTCATCACCGTCACATCATCGCGCGCACAGCGGTGTTTGGCACGCAACATGAAGAAGCTTGTACTTAGTATGTAACATCCTCCTCCGGCAGCTTTGCCGAAATGCTGATCGTTATCACCAACCTACCAACTTTCATCCAGCCGGGATCGCCGGAAAAGAGTTTCCGCCTGCGAGAGCCACCTGTACAGCAATATGGGATGCTTGATATGTTCCGCCGCTTCGTCTGCGGCAGTACTTGAAGCTGCTTTTGTTTTACGCGCAGCGGGTACGATTTGCACTCGTGTTGCAAGTCCCCACAAAAAACGTTATTTTTTTATTACGACAAGGCATCGATCACGCGGAGCCCCCACAGCCGCCGAATTCCTATGGGACAGGCCGTTATTCGTCAACAACTCCGGCTGTAGTGGCGATCCAAAAAGTGGCCAACCTTCTAAAGCAACCTTAGGCATGTCTCTACAGCGTGGTGCCGAAAAAAAAAATGGACGGGATCGTTTCTTGAGCGCGGATACAGCGTTGAAGGTCAAATTGCGGGGAACTTGCCGGAGAATTCCAACAAAATTGGAGGTAGACGCGTTGGGCGTGTTTGGTGGACATATAGGCGATAGAGTGGTTCACTGGAACGACCTTCGTAGTAGCGATCCCAAATTTTGCCAACCCCTCAATGCTACCTATGCCCATGTAATGCACTCTGGCGAAGTTTCGAGCGAAATCGTCAACTCCTTTGCCCGCGGGTAGCAGCGTGAAGTTTGGTGCTGAGAGCTGCGGAACGGGCTTGAAGCAACAGCTCTTTCACTTTTGATAGCACGGCATTTGCCAGGTTCAGAGCGAAACCAGGCCAAACCAAATGTCTGCGCGTGTAGAACACTGCATGCTTGAGGTATCCTGCAGGCTTCATGGCACGTAGCCATCTGTGTGAGGAGCACCAGCAGTGACAAAGATGTGCACCAGATGGTGGAGCCCCTTTGTCATATTGTTTTTGCTTTTTGTGGGACTTGCAACACGGGTGTTTAGGAAGAAACATACTCTCGGCCATATCTATCCTCTCGGTCATGCGGTAGTATTTCTGTCCATTTCGTTACGCTCGGCCACCACCGCTGTGCGCAGGTGTGGTACACGGCGTAGGTCGGTTGCCTGTTTTTTGTGTTACTGCTGTCTTTGCGCATGATGGAATCCAAAGAGAGGATGATTTGCCGTGGGCCCTCGGAGCAGAGCTCTTCACTAGCGTTGCTCTAACTGTGGGGTAGAAGCTGCGAGAGACCAATCCATGATAGGGATGGATGACACCAAGAACGTTCCCAACTCAACGCAGGCGGCCGCTGCGCGCCCCCCCCTCCCGCGAGCAGATGCTGAGCGGGATCCGAACGGAGGTGGTGGTGATCCCCTACGCCGACCGAACTTTCGTCATCGTCACGCAAATGAAGAAGCTCGGCAACTTGGTGAGTGTTTGCTCGGCGGTCAGCCCGATACAGACCGTGCAGAAAAATAGCATTGTATGGAAAAAGCGCCGCCGCTTGAGAACCGTCGACTAGGCCTGAGTTCTTTTTCCCCTGTGAGGGCTACCCTAAAGCCGAATCTGGGTTCAACATCAGTTTTTATTGCGGGGGATGAATATCGGCTAACCGAACGTGCTCGAGCTCTTTCAGATTCGATTTTTTTCGTCGATTTCTCAACTGCCAATCATTTGTGGGGTCATGTTTGACCTATGGAACCAATCTCCACGACAAAGTTTTCGTCGCCACAGGATACCCAGAGTCAAGTTTAGGTTCGCTCTCTTCCTGCACAAACCCCCAGATGAAACTCCTCAGGGATTTTCCAAGGCAGCCTCATGCCGCCATCCGACGTACCCTCATAACTCGGTAGAATGCCTCGTTACAGATGCGGAACCCCCCTACCCTTTTCTCAACACTGGGACGCCCTTGTTGACAGCGGGCGCCCCTTTGCTTGACCTGGCCTGCTGCAGTTGATGGCGACGTCGGATGCCGCCGGGGGAATGATGGCGGGCAGCGGGGGGCGGAGATATAGCGTGCAAGTTCTGCTTGGAAGGAGGGACGACCCTCTTCTCTGCTTGTACGCGCGCCAAATGCTGGAACAGATGAAGTGAGACGGAGCTGCGCACCTTGTTTTCGCGTTCGGAAAACTGATCATTTTGTGTTAAGAGATGTGTGCTTGTGCTCCTCCTCGACAGAGACTCCGGGTGAATGCGCCCGAACGACGGTGAGAAAAAATAATCCGTAATCTCGAGAGCGACGCGTTGTCAACAGCTAAGGCATTTGAAACACTCCCCCTTTTCCCGCCCCTCTGACTTCAGGTCAGACAAGCCACTGCTACTGGCAGTATGTCTCAAAGAGGAGGGGCGGGATACGAAGACGTTCCAAGAAGTGATCAACCAGGTTCTCTCGCTCGGAGGATGGAGCGGGTGATGCGATAACGGCGACGAATGAAGGGGGCCAAGAGGCCTATCAGATGCTCATCCGCCGATATTTGTCAGGGATAAAGAATTGATCCCATCATTTCAAGAACGGGTCGGTCAATCGAAGAACAGGTCGATCATTCGAAACACAGGTCGATCATGGATGTTTGAAGGAGCACGAGTTGTAGATGGCAAAATAGCTTGACCCCAGGGAAAATGAAAAGACACGGGTGTCTTACAGACGACACCATGTGGAAAGGTGCACCAATTTTGGGTAGGCGTCTGTTTACTGTGACCATATTCCGTTTGTGCACCTTCGCATTTGATCCGTAGGGGTGTTTTGATGCGAAGGTGAAGTGGATGACGACGAGTTGATTACGTGGGTCCAGCAATGGTGCAGAGCATCTGTTGTACATGCTTGAGGCCGTCAGGGTTGGAAAAATAACTGCTGTTTCGATTGATCAGCGCCCCTCGCTTTTGTACTAGGATGAAGCAACGTAGACGTGGCACCGAACTGGCAATGTAATTGATTGTGACGTAGGCACTGTTGCTGTTCGAGTGAGACTGCGTACGGTAGACTTTGAACCTCTGGCGTTGATATTGCAGTAGTAAAGTGACCCTCGTGATTTTTTTGTATTTCTGTGTTGGGGGTTGAATGCACATTCGAGTCAAAGCCCCCACGCGTGTGCCACGTGTGCTTCACTTGTTTCTGGGGAAGAGCTTCGAATGTGCACTGGATCGTTTAGAGATACTTGATCTCGGATGTTGTTGTCGTTTGTCGTTTGCATTTTAGAGAGGACCCTGACTATGTGGGTGGCCACAATGATATGAGTGAGGACTCTCACTTTCGTCCTGATTCTCTGTTTGCCATGGCGCTATGCATTGGGTAGTTTAAGCTCCAAAGCGAGTAATTAGGAAAGTTTAGAGCCAGTAATGCCTTGCCCAGTAGGATGGCAAGCGGTCGACGCCGCGCTGGTATCCTTAGCTCAGCAGTTGACGAAAGCACGAACTATGGATGCGAACGCGGCGACCGGCGAAGGGGATGTCCTACACATCGACTCGTTCTATGCATAGGAAACATGCGCGTCGGCGCCGAGAGTTTCGTTGTTGTTGGCAACAAAACTAGAGCGCCGTGATTCGATGGTGGTGAAGGGAATTCGCGGGTCGAAAAGAAAAGTTGACAGCAACAATCCGGTGAAACCGCTGACGATGCAGCATTGCCAGCACTGCTGTGGACATTATATTTCTCTTTCATTACAGACTACATGCACATGGTGAGGAGGGGAATAGGGGATCGATCCTTCTCGCGATTAATCTCACTGATGGCACGCACCACAGCAAGTCTCAGTACGGGGTTAGAGAGAGAGTTCAGAGTCAGATGCAGGGTTAAGAGTAAGGAATAATGAATCTGTGTGGCATCCTGTGTGACCGACCCCGGCTGGTGCGTCCAAATCGGATAGAACCACACTCGGTAGGCTGCGACAATTTCGAGTAGTGCGGTTGTTTGTGGTGGTTTGTTCAGGGAACGAGCGCTATGCTGAAATGCTGAAGGGCGTCGGTCCCCTGTTCACGCTCAGAAAGGGACGATAGCAGGCGGCTTCGTCGTACCAACATTTACGGGCCGCCCGGGCTACCTCGATGCTACAGCTCGCTCGGCGTGAGAGACACACGAATAATGTGTGTGTAGAGAGAGAGGGGGGGGGGGGAGAGCGATGTTGTCTGCCACTCCACCGCCCCGTTGCCCGGGAGAAAATCCTTGCGTGGTATCTTCGATCTACGACATCTACGATCAAGGATGCGTGGGTGTCGAATTTTCCAAGAAATTTCCATGCGCGCACATCGCGACGTCAGCCCCCGCCCCTTTGCTGCCTCTTTCATCAGAACCAACGCCCACGGAGCATAGGCGCCACCACTCGCAAGATCAACCAGATAAGGGGTAAGACGGGATGGGAGAGCTAGGAGACTATGCGCGTTCACGTCGTTTCCCGCAGTTCAGGAGCGCAGCAGTGCAGCGGTGGGGGTGAACGCCCGCCGGGACAAAAAGTCTGATGTTCCGCTGTCCCATGAAGCCAAGTTACTGGTGTGGCATATTTTAAGTCCCGAGCTCAACAGTCGGCACGTTTACAGGTGCAAGCCTATCGCAGTCGAGCCACCCCCCTTCGCTATTACCACCTTCGTATTTCGTGGGTGGCCAAAGCCTGGACGTGTGGACAATGGACAAACAATCTTTTCTGTTCCATCTATTGTTCAATAGGAGCGGTCCCACAAAAATCACAAACTACGTAGTACGCGCGGTGCCTCTTTCACGACAGTCCCGTTTTTAGGATTAGGAGCGTCGTTACAGGGTCGCTGCCTGCCCCGCCAACAACCGAAGGATTCGGGATCGGCGACCGTATAGACTCCAGGCTATTGCGTTCTTACTGTAGCGCGAACACTGCCTTCCCCCCAGTCAATGTTGACGATCTAAACTACACTCCTGTACAACATGTACATAGGTCTGCACGGCTACTACCACAGCATCAAGTGTTGACGTAGCCTGGATTGAACACCTGCGTATGCATACGAGGTGCAACTCTTCGCACGAAAAGTAAAACGCTTCTTTCCACCAGGGAGGTGGCTGTTCCTTTCCGTCGAACCAAAATATTTAACCTCACGTCCACAAGCAGGTGCAAAAAGAGGGCTGGATGAAGGGCGACTTGAATTTCGAAATTCCAATATTGAACAAACAAGCGTGCGCGCGACCCAGTTCTGTTCCAACCAATTTGTACCTCAGCTGAGTACACCGCGTCCAGTGCCACTCTTCTTCCTGGCTTTCCAACTACTGCCTACTCGCAGCAGCAAGTTGATCTTGATGAGCTACATGCACGATGTTGTATTGCGTCTGTGGCGTCGGTCTTTCCCGTAGCATAATGGGGAATTCTATGCGTATTAATAAGTTATCTTTGAGGTGAGTGTGGCTGCATTTAAAATCATCAACCCCCGCACTCTGCAGACTCATGCCGCAGGCATCAATTTACAAGCTAGGGTCCCCGAGAAAGCTCTCAGGGGAAGGCAACACCTGGGACATACTCTGGGCGCTGCAAATAAACGGGGCCGTTCATCAGGTATGGCGAAAGGAGCTGTGCTTGTTGTGTGAGAACGTTGCATTCCATTTCATTATTTCAGGGGCCGGTAAGCTGTTTCCCCATTGATGAATTCGTGTTGTTATCACGAAGAAGCTCTGGAGGAAAACGGTGCAAAGAGGCCGGCTTTTGTGACCCCTGGCGCGACTCCACACTCTGGCTGCACCGCTGAGTCTGCGCGTGCGATGTCCACGACACTTGGTTATGAATTTTGCCATGATCTAGCACGCAAGGATGCTTTCATCCACCACAACGCGGCATTGGAGATCAGGGGCTGGAACCGCTCTGAAAATTTACGCCTCCTTGCGCGCACGTACGTATTCCTCGACCAAGGTGTCGATGCAGAGGAGGCTCTCCCAAAAGATTATCGTGAAGCACGACGGGAAGACCTTGCTGGACAAGGTCTTCGTGTTGACGAAACCTTACGAGGGCTACTGCCTCGTGGCCTGGGTCAACCAGGGGATCAGTTTCGGGATATTCTGCACAACGGTAAGGGCGGTTCAAGTAAGCGACGGCCTCCACGCCAACGGCGACTTCAGTCCTATACCCGCGAGATGCCGTCGTTCTCCAGGCGGATGTGAATCTCGACCCTGACCCGACACCGCGCGCGCCTTTGAGGTATCTGTATTGACGAGGACGTCCAGTTGCGTCAAGCATACCCTTTTTTGTCCGCGTTGACTGACCTTTCCCTGACAACTGTCTCCTCCCTGTAAGCGTCAGACCTAACAACAAGCCCTGCTTTGTCCAGGAATTGAGGTGCATCCAGACAAACGCCGATCACTACGACCTCCGTGTCAATGGGGTCAAGTTCACGGCCTTGCCAGACGGCTGCCGGTTGAGGCAGATACAACAAGATGCTGCTCTCCGGCGGTAAGTGTCGTTGTCAGACGTGACAGCAGTTTGTGGCCCTCGCAGTTTATGCAACCAAAGAATGCCGCCAGGCGGCACGAGGTTTAGAGACCCTCCAGTCGGTAGTGCTATTAGTGTTGTTCGGGCGAGAGTGTGAGAAAATTTCTTCTAGCAAATGAGATAGAGGCGATGCGTGTTATTGGCCAGCACAAAAGCGAATGTGTGGTGTTTGTTTTGAGCGCATTGGTTGAGTGCTCTGGTTCCTGGTACCGTAGTTCGGGGGCGATTTCGCGAAATCCTACTGCCCTCAAGGGATGAGTGATACCACCAAATGAGTGATACCACCAAATCAGGTGGTGGAGGTCATTGCAAAAGAGAGCTAGCTCTCGAGCGGTGGGCGTTCCAGTGTTACAAACGTTTCTAGCTTGGTTCGGGCGGAAGCAACTGTTCTATCCTTCCCAAGCAAGTGGTGTTTTCTGGACACATTTTTTATTAATTAATGATGGCAAACGTGTCGAGGGATGCGACAGAGTACGAGGAAGTATCAACAAGGCAATGAGGGAACGCTGCCGAGAGAACTATCTGAAGCGGCAGAATCTAACAGCATGACGGCATGTGGTTTGGGGGCAATGCTACACGAGATCACCATCAACAAGTACTGTCTTGCATATCAACACGAAAGCATGCTCGATCGGATAGGCGTTGCTTTTATTTTGTTGTTGTTGTTGTTCTTGCCAGTCAACCCTTTGCTTTTCTTGGAGTCGCCCAAAAAACATTCGGATTGAACCCCACCGACACACCTTCTCCCCGCGGTCGACCCGGCCCATTTTGTGTGCGTTCGGTTCCGACCGTGGCGAATGTTCCCTATCCCCCTTCAACAAATGAATCATCAAGTATTCATCATTTGAGCGGTCCGAAAGTGCCATTCGGCATGGCGACTAGCTACGGGAGAACGGTGTGCTTAAACCCCTCGACGTTGTGAAAGTTGTAGTTTTCCGATGTCGACCCCCAACGAACGTCGTCGTTCTTGCCTTGCCCCGTTTCTCTCCGTGTGCGTGCAGGTCTGCCTCCGTTCCCAACATGTCCGGCGCCCGCGCCGGTGACGCCTTCGGCGACGGCGGCAACGGCCACAGGGGCAGCAACAACGGTGGGGCCGGCCGTGACAGCAGGGGCTCCGCGGCGGAGGCAGGGGGGAAGGCTTCGGCGACAACGACGGTTCCACCCAAGGCCCACGCCATCTCCCGTATGACAACCTGAACGAGGCCCGTCGTGGGCGTCGCAGCGGACCCCCCACGGATCGATGCAACGTCTCCAGTGGCGTGTGGTTGCGGAACATGCCTCAGAACGGTCTCGATGAAGGGCTTTCTGTTGGGTACAGGTACACACACGATCGCTCGGCCACAAAACGTCGGGTTTGTAGAGATAAAGCGTTTTCTGCTGCGTACGAAAATTTGCATCAAATCTTCCTGCTGAGCCTTCAATGTTAACGAGATGTTGCGTGGAAGGGAAAACACCCATCTTAGGAGGGACGAGTGACGACAACACGTATATGGGAAAATCGATTTGTATGGTTGGCGGTTCTCCTTCGATGTTCACATGCTGCCTCCTAACGTTCGGCGTGTGTTCTGAGGTCACATGCTGCCTCTTTACGTACGGCGTGTGTTGAGGTCACGTGCCACCCGTGTTTTGAGGTCACATACTGCCTCTTGACGTACAGTGTGTTCTTGCGGTCTGCAGTGCCGGCGGTACATCCGTGTCGTGGGAGTATTTCAATTTCAGAGGGCCTCTCACCGGCGAAGAGTTTCATGGTCAACTCGCTGTGGGCTGTTCTGTCCCAAAACGGTCGCTTATGTAGATACGCTGTCGTCGAAAGCCTCCCTCCAACGGTTTCAGTAGCAAGATGGCAGGGGGGCGGCCGTAGGCGTATTAACAGGGTTTGAGGCGTCTGTTGCTGTGCTAGAGAGGGCGGGTAGCGAAATCACTACGCCGAGGGCACCGGTATGCGCGTCAACCACAAAAATATGAGTGCTGTTCATTCCAGTGAGGTGTAACTATCCTATCCTCTCGTCAAAACGGCTTCGGAAAGTACAAGCCATCACGAATCACGCACACTTGTACGGCGGGTTAGTTACGACAGATGCGAGCTGGTAACTACGTGTTTCATATTGTTCCGGTTATATTTCGAAAATATGCGTGTTTTGAGCAGGTGGTGTTGTGTGTTGCATGTATGATGCGAGTCGGCGGCATCCCTTTTGGTAGTGGTTGAAGCTTCACATCGACGTAAGACACAGGGAATAATAATTTCATTGTTCCTGCGCACGGTGGCGCTGAATCTCCGATTCATGTTGTTTGGTGATTGACTTTGGTTGGTACGACACATGAACGCACCACATTGCTGGGTGGGGATTGCGACGTTATTAGATGCAAATCGGCAAAGTACTTGTAGCGTATCGTACATGTTTTCACGAGGCATTTTGGCCCGGGCCAAAATTCGTCCCATGATCCGGCAATCGCGTCGTCACATGATGGCGTTCAATCAATTTTAACGTCATTTTTTTCTCGTCTCTTTCACCAGATTGCCAACAACACAAACACTCAGCACACGTCACCGCAGAGTGCGGCATACCAATCGCGGAGAATCAACCGTTCTTCGACCAGAAGTCACCGGGGCGTGACGGGTACAACACGGACAGAATTTTACTTCGCTAGGGCAAAAAACACGCCCACACTTGCTGCTTTTCAACTGAACAGCATTTGTACTTCGTTATCTCCAAGCCAGGCTTGTTTCTCATGTTAGTGCTTGTCCGAATTTTCTAGTGCCAGTGGTGACGAAAACAGGGCACACACGCCGGGAAATCGACAATGAAAATCACACACGCAGGGTGACGATAGGCACGGGGCTCCTGGGTACGGTCCTCCCCCAACGTACTACAAAACAAAACAGCAGTAAATAGGGGACATTCATCTCGGAAAAACAGAGTAAATTTAGGAGAACCAAACCAGATACCATTGTCAGGCCAGACCAGGAGATATATGCTGGGGCCGCACGGCTTCCCCACCCGCGTAGTATGCCCGAAGGTTCCACATCGGGTTTTCACCGACCAGGCGCCCCCCTCCCGCACCACACGCCTCCTAGATTAAGTACCTATTTAGTGGAGTGTGGTGCGGAGGGAGGGCATCGTAATGGCAAAAAGAAGAAAGAACAAAGAATAATAGCAAAAACATCTCCAACGACTAAAATGCCGACTAGGGGCCAAAGCATGCGTCTGGAGGTGGTCAGCGGCGGGCAAGCAAGGGGTCGTCTACCAACCACGACCAAATAAACCAAGGCCAAGGCCAAGGGGCCGGCACCGGCACCAGGGGCATACAGACAAAAGTACAGAAGCTGGAGGGGGAGAAGACAACACGCACCCAGTAACAAAATATAGTAAGACAACTGTAACACGTGCAATCTTTCTCACTTCCCTGTTGCCGGATGTGCACCGGCGTCGTTGAGGTGCCTCCTCGCGTGTTCCTTCTCCTCGGGGGAGCAGTGCCTGGCAAATATCTCCACGATCTTGGCCTTGGTCACTGGCTTCGTGACGAACCCGCTCCCCCCCATCTCGGAACACCTCGATATTACGTCGGACTGCACGTTTGCCGAGACGAAGATCACAGGAGTCTCCTTGTTGCGAGTGCCGGACCTGATCTTCGCGCACGCATCCACCCCGTTCATCACGGGCATGACCATGTCCATGAGAACGAGCGAGTACCTGCCGGCGTCGCACATCTGGACCGCCTGGAGGCCGTTGTCACACGTGTCGGCGTCTACACCGACGCTCTTGAGGATCCTCGACAGCACCTTCCTGTTCACGAGCACATCGTCGACCACGAGGATCTTCGGGTGGGTCGAGTTTTCTTGGGGCTCCAAGGTTGTAATGGGATCCAGGGCGCACGCGATGGACGAGGCGGAGCTTTCGGTATTTTTTGCATCGTCTACGGTGGCGTCCGTGTATACTTTCCTGAGCGGTGGCACGGTCCCGCCGGGTTCGGGCGGGGTTTTCGCCTCCACCGTGAAGGTGACGGTGGTCCCCACCCCTAGGGTGCTAGAGCACACGATCTCTCCCCCCATGAGCCCGCACAGCTGCCTGCAGATGCTCAACCCGAGCCCCGTCCCCCCTACGTCCGTCCTGGAGTGAACCTGCTTAAAGGCTGTAAAAGCCTCCTTCGCGCTGTCCTGCGTCATGCCGCACCCGGTGTCCTGGACACTTACGCGGATGTAGCGCTTGGCTCTGGCTCCGGACTCGACTCTGGGCTTGGAATCCCCCTCCTCCACACAAGAGATGGCTGTGGCTCTGGGCCTGGCTCTGGGCCTGGCTCTGGGCTTGACGTCCCCCTTCTTGATGCAAGAAACAACTATTTTGATGAAGCCGGCGTCGGTGAACTTCAGGGAGTTGGTCAGCAGGTTGATGAGCACCTGCTGTATCCTGAACCCGTCCCCAACGATCTTCTCGGGTACCCCGTCCACGAACTCCAGGGCAATCTCCAACTTGATCTTGTTGGACTCGTGCTTCATCCTGTGCGCTATCAACGCGTTTTTCACGGTGCTCTTGACAACATCCTGCACCCTGATGGTGTCCTCCCTGATGTCCAGGAGCCCGGCCTCTATCTTGGACATGTCGAGGATATCGTTGATTAGCGCCATGAGAGTCGCCCCGCACGATGATATGGTCTTCACGTAGTACTTGGACGTGGAGTCAAGGTTCTTCTCCGCCAGGAGCTCCGACATCCCCAGGATTCCGTTCATGGGCGTCCGGATCTCGTGCGAAATGTCGGCGATGAACCTCGACTTGAGGCTCGAGTACCGCTCGGCCCTAACCCTGGAACCGTTCATGAGTAGCAGAGTCACGGCCAGGCTGGCAACGATGGCCACGCCGGAGACGAACAGATAGACGAAGAAGTCGCTGTACTCCTGATTGTCGAGCTCCGAGACAAGGATGTCCATCACGCTCGAGTTGAACCGCATCGAGTTGTCGTCGTCCAGGTCTCTCTGCGGTTCCGAGTCGAAGACCTTGTTGCCGTCCACGAAAATCTCTACTTCGGTGCCGGGGAACGTCGACTCCAACTCCGTCACGAAACTTTCGAACAAGGCGTTGTATCTAATTACCATGGCGAGCACTCTATTGTTAGAAGGCCATGCCCAGCTGGAGATTATGGGGTAGAAGCCCACCCTCCCTAGCTCTCCTGTGTCTGCCAGGACGACATTGTCCAGGAACGTGGCCTCCCCCGATTGCACCGCCGTGTCTATCGCGTCCGCCCTGGATTCTTCGGAATTTACCACCAAACCGAGGACGAGTTCATTCCTCGGAAATACGTACTCCACGACGTAGAGATCGCCCTCCACGTCCCGGTCGGTGATGTATCTCGGGACGATGGTCGTGTTGTACATCCCGCTCAACTCGCTGGCCACGGAGTCTAAGAGGGACGGGTCTACCCTCCTGATCAGTACCACCTGAGATATTTCTTCCTTGCTCGCCTGCTTGTCGGACAGGGTGTCAAAGTCGTCGGGGTCGGTGACATTGATGAAGCTCAGGGCGGTCACGAGCTCGGGCGTCGACGACGTCGTCGCGAAGAGAGAGAGGGCTCTCTCTGCGGAGAAACCCGACTCCTCGGAGTAAACCCACTCCTCCGCCGAGCCGCGGGAGGAGTCCACGAGCCTGGCCAGCAGGAATGAGCACGCGACACCCACCGCGAAGAAGACAAACGACCCTATCGAGCACGCGAGAGAGGCCTTGTCCATGGCGCAGGACCTGTTACTGCAGTAGTAGTGCGTCCGTCTCTGTGAACGTCGACTGACACACAGTCGAATATGACGTCAAGGTGTACAGCAGCACATGTAGTTCGCGTCTTTGTCGGATGTCAACAAACCGGGTGAGGGAGAGAGAGTGAGAGAGGTCGGTCAAAAAACACACACATACATACGGTCTAATCCGAAGGATAGTTTAGCCTCCCCCATGCTGCCCCCTCCCTCACGGGGTCCCCAGTTCATGGCAGATAGAAGTGTTTTGTGTTTTCACCCGCACTAAGACTGGCGTCTTTTCATTGGCCACCCGGTTAGCGCGGTCGATGCTGATGATATTAAAAATACATACATTCGATCAGCCGGTTTAGCGCGGTCGATGCAAACAATAAAAACACATTCGATCCACAGAGAACGCACTCGGTCGGTGCGGTCAAAGTTGTCGGCACCGAAAAAACATTCTGTGTCTTTCGCCGACCTTCGCCGAGGGTTCTTTTTTGTCACTCATGCCAACTTGATTGTATGCACGCAAAAACTGAAAATGCTGCTGTAGTCGGGAACTCTACAAAATTGAGCCGTGACACAGAACCAAAACAAGCATTACATTTTTTTCGCGAACCCAAAAAATGATACTCACTCCTGGTAGTTCTGTGTAGGAACAGGAACACAGGGACCATGGGTAGGGATGAATTTTTTAACCCTTACGTGACTACACCCCCGAATCGGGCATGTTAGCAGGCACGATAACTCTTATATGCGACAACTTTCGAACCGAATTGAGCTGTGGATACCTGCGTCGACGACGGCTCGACGGTACGACTAGACCGCTCGAAAAGAAACAAAGTAACGACCGGGGACAGAAACAGCACGTCCCCTATACAGAAAATTGAAAGCCTGGGAGTTGCAATGCTCCGCAGCACCCTGCATCCCGCGCTGCTGCTGTGCTGCTGTGGACCTCAGTCCAGCACGCAGAAACGCGATAATGATGCTGTTTTTCCTCCTGCTTGTTGCGATTTTTCGCACGAGCGCTATGGACGGGGTTCCTGTGTATCACGTTCGCAAGGAACAGGAGCTAGCTCCCCAGCCGGCTGCGTTGGGCCAACGGGTACAGCAGCACATCGATGGATCTGCGTCGCGCATCATTTGCAGCACAGAATTGACAAGAGGTGGGAGGGTTATGGTCTTGCCCGAACCGCGCTGGTGTGTATACCGTAAAGCCGGATGGCCACTGCGGGTTTAGTGCGATGTCCGCGGGTGTGCAGGTTTGCCTCGGTAGAACAAGGGCCGCCCCCACCCCAGAGAACATGAGGAGCGTGGTCGCCCGTCGAGCCACGGAACATGTTCTTGGCGCATCCGGTGTTGAGGACTTGACAGCTGTACTCTCACCAGACCAGCTTGGGCGGGCCCGGAGTGTGCGTATACCGGATGTTTTAGGAGCTGCCGTGGAAGAAATGACGGCGCCGGAGGATAAGACGGTCGGTTGGTTTCGCGAGAAAGCCCAGCTAAGTGCAACAACAAAATGGATTGACGTGACCTGGTTCTCTTTTCTGGCGTCGGAGTACGGGGTGAACATCATGTTGTGGGAGCCAAGCCCCACGTACGGCACAGTTCAGCCGTACTCAGCAGCCCTCACGGCAGGCATGTTCTTGTTCGAGAAAAAAGACAAAATGGACGAGGAGGGGGATCGCTGGGTGCATCTGCTCTATCGGAAACACGACGATCCGTGGGCAGCGCGCGAGGGTGTAGGTGAGGCAGGCCATAAACAGCACAACCACTTCGACCGTCTGCAGCTTGGACTCAACGTACATACTTCCTTCATCGATGTCGTCAGAGTTGCAAAGGAGAAAGCGCTAGGAATGGCGGCGCCGGTGCCGTCGGCGAGCGCCACGGCCGGGAAGAAAGCGCCAGGGTCCGCAAAGGTGGACGGAGAAGAGGAGGACGATCCCGAGTTCAGCATGAGACCAAGCGGCAGCAGCAGCAACAACAGCAGCAGCAGCAGCCGGCAAGCGGAGGGAAAGGCTGCAGCGGGAAAGAAAAGGTCGGGGTGAAGCGACCAACCGAGAGGCAGCCAGGGGACAGCAAGAGGCACAAGGCGGGGGGTGCACCGGGGAAGCAGCGCAAGGCGGTTGGTGTGCCGGGGAAGCGCAAGGCGGGGGGTGCACCAGGGGAGGGGAGGCGTGCCGCAAAGAAATGCAAGAGTACGCCGACGGGTAGGAGGAAATCGGTGAAGAGCAACGGCCAAGTAGACGAAGCCAACTATGATTCCGACGGCAGCATCGGGGGGGGGGACCACGAGCGAACCCAGGGCTCCTTCGCTAGCATGTCGCAGAACGAGAAGAAGGTGGTGGCCGCCATGAAGAAGATCCAGGAGCTCAAGTACAGGCGGGCGTACTTGCTGAGCAACAAGAGGAGGGCGCGGGGTCTAAAGGTGGGTTTGTGTTCGTGTAGACTTTTCTCTTGGCATTTTCCAGGTGAACAGGCGGACCTAAGAGAAGACGACGATTTATGGTGGTGCAAAAGTTGAGTCCGATAAATAGTGCGAATCAATACTGCTGTAGCAGTTTCTTACGTTTTTTTTTTCGCTTGGAATACCGAGTAGAGAGTGCCCTATCAACGCTGAACAAACGCGTGTCTAGGTAGGCACTTTGTTTCGCCTCGTGTGGTCGCTAGTCTCTACCAAAAATAATCTTAGAAGTGTTGGTAAAAAGCACCTGGTTGCTTGCATGATCATGTTGACGCCTCCGTGCCTGGCTCCTGTTGCTCAACACGGGTGTGGTTTCCAATGTTGGCAGGGGGGCAACGAATGTCGAGTTCACGATTCGGAGTATGTAAATGCATGTGCGTGACCTGAACACCCTACTGGCCCTGTATGGTGTTACTTTTGATCGCCGTGTAAGTTTCACGTGAATCTCTCGCTCGCTCGATTCGTAGGTGTTAGTGACACCGTCGCCTCGTACGACTTTATTTTTTTTCGGATGATTGAACACAACACGGCAGGGTATGAATTGACACAACTGCCGCTCTGTTTCCGCTGTTTGCCGACGACGTGCTCAACCCAGCTCAAGGCCATACGCGACAGGGAGAAGGAGAGGCTCAAGAAAGCGGCAGAAAAGGAAAAAAAAAAACAGCTTCGGCCGCGGCAGGAGGTGGAGGAGGGGGAGCGACAAGAGAGAGAGGAGCTAGAGAAGCAGCAGCAGCAGGAGCAGGAGGAGTTGAACGCTGAGGCGGAGGAGGCCCCGGAGGTGGCGTGGACTGACCGCGGCATTCCTGACTTTGCGGGAACGACGGACCACAAGAAGAGAACCCGGCGGCAAGCGGTCAGCGCTGCTTCGCTGTCGGCGTCCGCGCGATCGAAGTTGCCCTCTCTCGATACCTTCATGGGCGGCCGCGACGAGAACGGAGAGTTCCCGCTGAGTGGTTTGATGAAGACGTGCTTCAACATGATGTTCCCCGACAAGGCAGTAGATCTTTTCGTGCAAAAGGTGAGCATTGGTGTTTTCGTGTGGTCGCATTCCTTATTAAGTTGCACTCGAACAACTCACTAGGGGGGTTGCACGCAAGTAAGAGACCGAGCCGTTATGCGTCGGACTTGAAAGTAGTTCCGCGGGAAGGGGGGGAGGGGGGGGGGCGGGATGAATTGTATGACCTTTGTTGGTGTTTACACTGCATGATGTCGTCTGCATGCCTTGGTCGCCTAATCATACTGGCCGAATGTAGATCACAGCTCATCAAGATTGTCAAACACACGGGGGTTTATGCGGTGTTCATGCATACTTCCCTCCTGACGTGCTACGTACCAGCGTATCGTGCAGGGGGTGGTTTGCAAGGGCGGATGCAATACCGCGGAATGTACTCCCTGTAGAGAAGCACCCTCCCCCCCCCCTATCCAGCGCGCGGGATCCCTGTTATGTATGTTGTAATTTGATTACCGATATCCACCCGACCAACCCAACAATTGAAAGCGGGTACTAGGTAGATGCCTGAGAACACAGTCTGTTGTGGCCCCTTGCGGTATTGCTTACGTTCCAAGACACCCGCGGAAGGCGTATGCGGATTAATTTAATCAAACATGTCTGTGCTGCCACGGCTTGCATCAACAATCATTGTGTATATATACGACACCTCGGCGCGACCTCTAGGGCGAATATGCTAATCTTCGCTCCGTCTTGTTGTCCCTGACCTCTTCCGCGCGAAACGTGATACTTTTCCAGGACAACAAGTACGTGAACCTTTGCACCACACCACCACCCCCCGGAGCTACGGAGAAGCGCAAGGAGCATCAGATGAAGAAGACGAGAACTCTAGGCAGGGTCACCCTGCCGGAACCCGCATTCGAGCGCAAGCACATCTACGGCATGCTGGGCATCACGATCACGATGGGGCTCACCAAGAAAACGCGCATGAGGAAGCACTGGAGTAGATCGTTGCACGACGACTATCCTCTAGTGAGGGCGTGCATGCCGCGTGACTTGTTCGAGCTGTTGTACTGCCGTTTCATCCACTGCTCGGACGGCAACGCTCCTCCTCGATTGTTGGACGAGGACAACACCCCTAACCCGGACTTCGATTCGAAGTGGCACATCAGGTGAGTTTTACCCGTCGGAGACTTCGAGCGTTCTGACTGTTGGACCACGCTCCTCCATTTTTTCATGTGGTGAAATAAAACGGCCTCCAAGCCGGCGAGTACCCTAGAATCCAAACCCAAAGGGTTCATGTCGTTGTACCTGTCGTTGCCCTACACCACCCGCCCTCCCCGTGGAATACTACACGTGACCACTACAGTAGCGTACAGTTGTACACCACCCGCCCTCCCCGTGGAATACTACACGTGACCACTACAGTAGCGTACGGTTGGGATGATCATAGCTACGGACTAGCGTGGTTGGTGTGTGTAATCAATAGGCGAGCATTCGTATGTCCGTTCGTGTCCCACGAATGTTCTACAACAGATTAACCAACGCCACACCTCCGTGCTAATCTTGACGTCGCTTCACCGGCAG